AAAGACAGTTCCCTTATGAACCCCAGGACTGAAATGACGATGCTTTATGGATTTGTTTAGAGATAAGAGATCGAATATGGGAAGAAGAGATCATTTGTTGTATTTTAAGAGGAGGTGATAAGTTACTAAAATTGTTTATATTTCTTGGGATAAGGGGGCAGTCACTTCTTTATGTATTTTTTTTCTTTACTATATTCTTACTTTTCTTTCTTTTCTATTTTTTTCTTTTCTGCACCTTCTACTCTTTTTTTTCTATTCTTTCTTTTGGTTTGTATTAGTTTTTACTATTGTAATTATAATCTTTAATAAAATTACTACAGTCAAAATACAGTGAAAAATGTGCCACCCGTGGATAAGGTGACCCTCAACATTTGTGTATGTAATCCACAATTATTCATTTTTCATGGCATTTTGGTTAAAAATTTGAGAGTCAGCTTATCCACGGATGGGCTTATATGCGAGTATATATGGGATATATGGGTGCTATAAAATATATATATGGGATATATGGGTCCTGTATATACTGGCAGATAAGCCCATCCATGGATAAGCTAAACCCAATTTTTTGGGTGTATTTTGGCACCTACAATTCTTATTTGTGGGTATATATGGTAATCCCAAAACAACTGGAAGGTACTTGAGGACTGTGTATTTAAGAAAGGTAACCCTAAAAAAAAGAAAAAAGAAAAAGGAAAATCCTTTGAAAAGGAAAAAGATTAGCAGCTTGATTCCAGAGTGCTTCTTGCACATTTCAAAACATTCCAAAATCAGTCATCGGTTTTTTTTCATAGCCAGACAAATCAGTTCAATTCTTTTATAGTAGGATGTTAGACTTGCAGCGACTCACTTTAATATGCTCAACAGTTATTCTAAGTCCAGTACGAGGGCAAATGGTGTATAACATTTTAAAATATAGGTTTATAAATTCCCAAGTTTTGTGGAGCTTCCTAGTGCATTTTGAAGCATGGCAAAGTATTTCTCCCACAATAAGAAATGGAGCTAGGGTTGTGCACCAATAACTTTTTATGAACAGTATTTAATAATATTATTGCAATGGTTTTTATGTACATTTTAGTTTTGATATCATAAACAGTGTCACAGGAGAGCATAAAAAATGGGTAAATAAATGATTAAATATTAATCCCTTGTTACACTAGTCAGTCTCTCCCTAGCATACCCCCTGGCCAACAGTTAAAATTCCCTGCCTCTGCAGGTAGGGTGTGTTTTTATGTACATCAATAAAGCTAAACATTCACACTAATTCAGTGACCTGTTTAAAACCAACATATGGACAGGAGAGATGTGCTGTCACCAATTCTTTAAAGATATGAAAGGCCTATTTGTCACCCAATTCATCAGGCATGTCTTTTCCAGAACCAGTTTTAATGATACCTTTTCCATTATTTTGCAGCTGTTCCCCCCCCACCCCACCCATGGTCCAATTAATATAGTAGCAGCTGATACTGTAACTAGGCATGCCCTACACTACCTTTTTTTGTTTTTCTACAAATCTCTCCAGATAGTTCATGATTCAGGAGCAGATCATCTATATGGTTAGTTCAATATGGATGATGGTTCAAACACCTTGGGCAAGTTTTGGAATTTTTCCTCCCACAGGCAGGGATAATTTTCCTCACTTGACAGTATCTCTTTAGTGGTTATCTCCCAGTTTTTCTCTCATGGCAGGGTTGAGGAACATGTAACCCTCCAGATGTTGTTGAACTATAGCTTCCATCCTCCATCACTGACCATCTTACTAGGACTCTTCGGAGTTATCGAACAATGAGAGGGCCATACGTATCCCAGCTTTGCTGTATGATGTCCCCTATCAGATGCTTATTTCATTGATAGAAGATTTCTTGAATCTATGCCATGGTCTTAAAGACCTGTTTAGGCTTAGCACTGAGGATGTTTAAAGTTATAACATCAACCTGGGGTATAAATTATGGTACTTGCCAATATACAGAACACTGGAGTATAAAGGAAAAAACTGGGCCAGGAAGAGGAATTTTCAAGCTCTGCCACTGAATAAAGCAGGGTTTCTCAACCTTGGCAACTTTGAGATGTGTGGACTTCAACTCCCAGAATTCCCCAGCCAG